CTTAATTAAAGCGACACTTCATCTAGGACCTTTTCTTTCATCACTCTGGGCCTTCATAAATTATTCAGTCTGTAATATGCAACTTGTCATTGTTTTGTTATTTTATTAATTTAACAAATATTTGTGTCTAGCTCTGTAGATGCTCTATATATTTACACAATTGCTTTATCTACCTTTTGAATACAGGTTTTACCATTTTATATAGTAAGGTCTGATTTATAGTTACCAGCACTTTGCCTTGACCTCACTAGTTACTCAAACATGATTTAAAGGAAGGCATGCCATTTCTGTAAGTTGATTCTTTGTGATCATAATAGGTATCATTTGTTATAGATGGTAGATCAATCAATGGAGCATTCACAAAAGACATAGAATTTTGCGGGAGGGGTCTTGAAGTAAGGGTAGGAATTAGGCCTTGGGATAGAAGCAGGTATTTTTGTTTGACTAAAATTTGATGTTAAGTGGGGGAGAGAGTTTAGTGGTTAAAGTGTTTGTCATGTAAACAAGAGGACTTGAGTGCAGAGCCCCAGAACCCAGGCAGGCATGGCAGCTTACCCATAATTCCAGCCTCAGAAAGCTGAGACAAAGGATCCTTAGACAAAGCTAGCTAGCAAGACGAGCCTTAGTGATGAGCACTGGTTTTGACTGAGAAACCCTGCCTCAACGAGTAAGTGGAAGATCTACAAGGAAGATACCCTATATCAACCTTGGGCCTCCATATGCATGGCACATACATTTGCATACATACCTGCATACACACTTGCACCCACACATATCAAAACATGCTGCACACATGCATATATACCACATGTAACATGAAAGAGGAAAAATAAATAGGAGAGTCTGAAGGAAAGCAGAAAAGGCAAGGTTGGAAAAAAATGAGGGTAGACTGGGAAAGTGCCTGATTCCCATTTAAAAAACCTGGACTGTTTTTATAATTAAAGAAGAGTGCCAGATATGCCACTGATATGCATTTAATTATATACATAGGGTCAAGAGAGACCAGGATGATAGGCTGGACAGAATTAAAAATGGAAACACTGGGCCGGTGGGCTGGCTCAGGAAGAAAAGGCACTTGCCACCAAGCTTGATCACCTGAAGTCGATTGCAGGACCGACATGGTGGTAGGACAGAACCAACTTCAGAAAGTTGTCCTCTGACATACATATGCATGCCCACACACATACACACGTGTGCACATCAAATAAACAAAAATGTAATAAAAAAGAAGTGAAACACTTTTTTAGGGTCTGCTTTCCTTCTGACCCTCCTATTTATTTTTCCTCTTTCATGTTATGTGTGGTGTATATGCATGTGTGCAGCATGTTTTGAGGCAAGTGAAACCAGTCTCTATTTCTGGCTTCCTTGTTTCTATCACTCTTTTCAAATTTTGTCTTTCAAGTTTTAAGTCCCTTGATTGGGCAGTTTGTTCTAGAGGCAAGAATCTTCAACATCCTTTGCTCCTTCGTTTCAGTCCCTAGCTCTGCTGCGCTCTTTTAGGTCTGTTGCTCTATGAGCTGTTTTGAGCCTTCAGGTTTGGTGTATTCATATACAAACACCTTATGAGAGGGACCACTATGCACAGCATCTGCTTGCTTCACTGGAGGCACACAGACATAGCTGTCAGCTGGGGTGCCTGGGACATGAGTTGTGTCTGGAGGAGGAAACAGTTACAGATCTGGAAGCTCTACAATAGTTCCTGCTCTTGCCAATCTTTCTTTTCTTTCTTTAGGACTCAAGAATCAAATTAATTAGGCAACAAATATAATCCTTTTTTTTGCCACTTTTCAGAACCAAAGCTATACAGAGAGTAATCTAAGTAGAATTATGAAATGGAAGGAAATCACTGACCAAAACCACTTACCTAATATACCTGAAATCTATTAGTTTGGGATTTATCTGAGCTGAAACAAAGGACAATCCTGGACAAGATCGGTTAGAGGAGACTTCATGATCAGGTTCTGCTTTGGGAAAACATTCTGAATCATCTGATCTGCTCAAAGGGAAAAGGAGTTTGATTTGAAGGAAAGGAAGAAAGCAGGACAAAGGGCAGAAAATCTCCAAGCGAATTTTGGAACATTGTATTTTGTTCATGTATTTCTAAGGAGAAATACAAGAACAGTCAGAAAGAACTAAGCACCAGAATTGGGGTGCTAGGATCTTGAAGGACAGAGAATGAAAACTAGCCAGGCCAAAACAAGGGAGAAGGAAAGCCACAGCTCAGAAAGCTTGGTGAATGAACTCTTAAGCTTGAACTTGCTTGCTTCCAAGGTCCTTACCGACTCCCAACTGTTGAACCCAGCTCTCATTTTGTGACATCCACAATGAGTTGGAATGTGTGGGAACCAGTGGAGAGGTGTGACCAAGTGAGGTTGGGAGCAGTGCAGAGAAAGCTATAAGCCAAGAAAGAGGTTTCAAAAATGGAAAGAGAAAAGCTGGAACCCAAAATGAGATCTAGTTCATTCAAATTACAGAGTATCAGGCAAGGGAATTTTCTGTTTCCCATCCTATATTTTACCTAAACTATTTAAGCTAGAAATTCTTATGCCTGGGCAAAGTAATGTGTGTTTGACAGTCACCATTCAGAATTCATCACTGCAATAAAACAATTCCCTGGGTTCAAAAACGAAAACTATAATAAGGCAGAAATTTGAAAACATATAAACAATGAAAGTTTCCCCACAAACATATCCGGAACAAGTGATTACACTAAATATTTTCAAAAGTCCTTGTAGTATGGACTGGAGAGATGACTCAGCGGTTAAGAACACTGACTGTTCTTGCAGAAGACCTGGGTTTGAATCCCAGCACCCACATGGCAGCTAACAACTGTCTGTAACTCCAGTTCCAGGGGATCCAACAGCCTCTTCTGTCCTCCACAGGCACTGCACTTACCTACATGCAGGCATAACACTCATACACATAAAATAAAAATAATAAATATATTTTTTTAAAAAGTCCTTGAAGTCAAGGGTAATGTGTGTGTATAGAGTGAAAACACACAAAAGCAATGGCATTCTCTCCACACCACGTGTTTGTAACTATCATACTTTGCTCCCCTCTCAAGAGACATCTTGTTCAGGCAATGGCCTGCCCTACTAGGCATCTTATCCTTCTTCCCAACAGAGCCAATGTCGTGAGCCTTCTATGGTACACGAGCCCTGTCTGCTCATCTCATCTCATCTCAATTCAACAGCTTCTTCTCTGCTATGGATACAGTTACCTCATTATGTACCTCTACCCTCTGCCTTTTTATATATAGAATATATGTCTAATCCATTCCTACAATGCATGACCAATTCTACCTTAACCCTTTCTAGTTCACTCCACTGTTTTCCCACTGATATGCCAGTGGTAGAGGTATCTCTGGAGGTTGACCTCTCAGGCATCTAACTGCCAAAGTTGGGAGACACTTTCTAATTTCACACTAGTTCATAGAAAAGTCATTCCAGATGTATTATTCATTCAAATGTTCCTATTCTAGTAAGTCTCTGTGTCTCCCACATCATACACAGGCCTGTTTAAATAAAGCTCAAAGTTTACAAAGGTTCCCTACTCTTTTCTCACCTGTTTCCCTACCTGTATCACTAAATGTGTTCAACATTGTCATTATTGTTATCCAAATTTGGCAATGGTCTCAGAACTTTACAATTATAGTGGCACTTTCACACTGGGTAAAGCCTATATTTCTTTTTTAGCATTAAGTTTCTGCTGTGACATAATACCCTCATTCTGTAGCACTTCCCTCTTCTGCTTATACACTAATCCCTCTCCTCTCAGGTGGCCTAGTCCCAGTGCCATTCTTTTACGACCAGTTAAAAACTCTATTCTTCCCAATGGATGGGGCTGTATAGCTGAGGTCTAACAGTGCTGTCCTGAATCACAGCACTATGCAGAACTGATAGTGCCAGACAGTGACATTTGCACAAGCACCTGGCCTCTACCCAATGCTTCCATATTCATTTCCCACTCATCTGAGCCTCTCAACAATCCAGGAAAGAAGAACTGTTCTTCCCATTTTCTAGCTGAGGAAACTACAATTCAGCAAGATCAGATGACCTTCTTCAGAGCCAAGCAGATATGTAAGTAACTGAGCTAAGCCTCAAGCTGGAAACATCTACATCTAACCCAGCTCTTCTCCCAGACACATTTCTAAGAATACACTTCACCACCAAGCAAGCCCCAGTATCTCTGGTGCAAGTTTGCAGCAGCTGCTACAGGCCCTGTGATATAGTTTTAGCCTCCTGTCCATTCCACATCCCTAGGTTTATTGTTTCCCACTCTTAGCACCAAGCCTTTACACACAAACTCATTCTACCCTGAGCCCTGCCAACTTCCCATGGATTCTTAGCACTGCCACATTAACCAAGTTTTCTTCTGCTTTGAGCATGGCCTTGCCCCTTCTCTACAGATACCATGCCACCCAGTGACTTACTCAATAATTCTGAAGTCACAATCTCTTAATCATAAACTCTGTACACGTGCACATTTGTTTATAGTTTCAGCTCCATGTTCTCTGTCTTTCCCTTTTCCTGCCCTGTTAAAATGATTCATTTTAGAGTGGGAGCTGCTGGGCCACTCACTAGCTAGCTATGGATAATGCTCAGTGCAAAGTTTTATATTCAAAGGCACATTACCAATTATAATATTTTATTAATAAACTCCTGTTCTTGATTTGACATAATGGCAGAAAACAGTTGCCATAATCACTAAGAGCACTGTTTGCCTCAATTCAGAGTTTCTCAAGAAGAGTTAGCCTATCAACCTGTAAGTGAAGGACAAGGGAATATTTCTTTAACTGGGGTCCCAAAAGTGCAATGTGAAATTTAAGTAATTTGTTATTAACTTCCCATTACTAACAACAGTCCTAGCTCTACACAGGAAGGTCAACCCCAGTAAGAGGCTCCTGGTTACCAGAATCCCCATAATAAGGAAGAGGAGACAGTTAGTCAAATGTGTATGTGCTCTGGGAAGGCACCAGCTGGCTGCATATTACTTACTGGTTTATCCTTGATGGTGGGGCTAGACACACACAGGTACAGTTTCCCATCTTCTTCTAGGCAGGCATCTATCAAAGCTTGCACTGAGCTCTCTTCCTGGAACAGCAGAAAGGCATAGCCTTGGGAAGAACAAAAACAAAAAGGTGGGAGAAATGAGTACATTAACCTAAACTATCAATGAAAATATTTATAGCAGGCTTGGTGGTTCACACCTATAATCCCAGCACTCAGGAGGCAGAGCAGGAGACCTTTCATGAATTTGAGCTAACCTTAGCTACTCTGGAAATTACAGACTAGGCTGTTACAGACTAGGCTGTAGACTGAGAAATCTATTGCTTCACTGTTAACAATTCTTACTAAAGTCTAGACATTCAAGTGGGGACAGGGACCTGAGATCCCATGTACCAGGTGCTGTGTTAGATGCACATAGACAATTACCTTGTTTAAGAGCCTTAGGTGCCACTGAGCTAGCTGGTAGCTGCAACATTACTTTGTTTAATTCTCATAACTACTCAGGGGAGCAAGTTCAATACACCTCTATGGAATTTGCTCAAAATAGGTCTCATCATCATTGATGACAGCTCAGCACAGGGCCCACGCTATAAATAGCAGTCAGGAAACAAGCATTGCTTGTCTTTCAATCTCCAGCAAACAAGAGCCTTGATTCATGCACAACAGAGATGGACCTTGAAAATACTGTGATGGGGAAAAGAACCTAGGCATAAACACCACGTTCATAGGAGGGAAATCAAGACAGAAAATAGATTAATGTCTTCCTATAACTAGAGTGCTAGAGGGAACACACAGTTACTTTGGGGAATAAGAATACTTTAAAATTGATTGTGGTAACCGATAGCTGTGTAAGTCCCATCAACTGCAAACAGCTCCTCAGCTAAGGGTGGGTCCTCATGAGCCCCTCCCCCACTGATGCTGGAATTTGACAGGCTTGATCTTGTGCAGGTAACTACAGCTGCTGTGGGTTCACAGTGCAATGGCCACATCATGTCTAGAGAGCATTTCACAACCCTTGTCCCCATCCTCCAGTTTTTATATTCTTTCTGCCTCTTCTGCAATGTTTCCTGAGCCTTGTGGGTTGGGATGATATAGATGCCACATCTATGGCTGAGCAATGAGTCACTTATTCTCTGCACTTTGACCAGTAAATATCAACATTAACTGCAGGATTTCCACAGACACAGCCTTTGTGTTGTTTTGTTTTTCTTTTTTTATAATGTGTATGTGTGCGTGCGCATGCATGTGCAAGTGTGCTTTGTGTATGTGTGTATATAGCATTTCTTTGTTGAGACTGGGTCTGGCTATCCCAGGCTGGCCTGGAACTGGCTATGTAAGTCAGAATGGCCTCAAACTTAGAATCCCCCTATTGCAGCTGGGATCAAAGGCATGTGCTACCACACCTGGCGTAAAATATATTTTTTTAACTGACACATAATAATTACACAAATTCTGGTACCATGTGCTATCTGATAAATACAATATATAATGACTGAATTCCAGCTGGGCGTGGTGATGCATGCTTTAGTCCCTGCACTAGAGAGGCATAGGTGGGTGGATTTATGTGAGTTCAAGGCCAGTGTGTGGTCTACATAGTGAGTTCCAGGCCAACTGGGGCTACAGGGAGACCCTGTCTCAAAAAGACCAAAGGAAAAAAAAACAAATAATGATTGAATTCCAATAATTAACACTTTCTTCTTCTTAAACATTTCATTGTGCTGGGAAGCTTCAAAGTCTCTTCTAGTTCTTTATCAAATACACAGGCTGATGCCATTAATCTCAATATACCTCTAGCATGCAAGAGGCAGTGGGTTCAATCCTCATCACCAAAATATAAAATTAAATATATAGTAATAAACTATTGTGCACTATAGTCACCTTTTGATATGACCAGTTTTGTTAAATTCAACCCAGGAACACTTATTGAGTAATTGCTACAGATGGGACACACTCTAGACTATGAGAACAATGAAACGAGGGATATGGGGTTCCTGCTGTCAATAGACTTGCACAGCAGTTAATTTAGACAATTGACTATTCACTACCAAGCTGAGGGAGATGAGTGTGGGCACAGAACCACACTCATTGCTCCACAGGAACCCAGATGAACAAGGACTGGCTTGGGCGAATCAGCAAGACTTCATAGAGGACAGGAGGGGCTCAGGAGGTGACTGGTGCCTGCCGCACATTGACATTCAGGAATGGCAGCTGAGGAGAAGCCCATGCTGAGTGCCTAAGCCTAAGCACATAGAATTTAACCCCTTTACGACCCTCAGAGCACTGCATAATCTCTCATTTGTCATCTCCACACCCAATCCTACTACCAGCCTCAAAGGAAATCATCATCAATACTCTGGTGATGTAAATGATAAGAGAAGGTGAAAAAGCCCTGGACACAACAGATTCTCCCTCATCAATGATGTGTGATAGTCAACTAGCTAAAACTCAAAGTCCGCTGGATCTCTGCCACATAATGACAGTGGCAGTGAACAAGGTCATTCTTATTTCAATCTTTTCTCCATGACTTCATCTACTATACAGAGTATCAAGCAAGGAAAGCAGGCAAGATCAGCTACTGCCCAACCCACCAGAATGAACAGCAAAGCAAACAGAAAGGTGAAGGGTGAACAATTGCTTAAAGAGAGAGACTGCCAAGGCGGGAGGATTCAGAGCTGTTTTCCTCTGCTTTGTTTCCAGGATCAAGAGAAAAATAAAATACAACTGCAAAAGTAGAGAAGAAAACAGCTCATCTTCCATGTTCTTTCTGTTTTGTAAACAGTATCAAACTATCACCAAGTTCGAGAAGAATCTACTGGAAATTCAGTGTTTTCATTTAATGTGAGAACATCAGTCCTCTGACAAACAGAATGTTAGACATGAGTAAGTTTACAATGTAAGCATCACAGAAGAATGTCTCAGCAGGTCCCCTCAAACCTCCTGCCTGACCAGCTTTACTTCTGGCACAGAAGGTCAGAAGGTACACATTGGGCATCTTGCCCTTAAAGAGAGAAGCCCGTCAGTTTAGGCACTGTACACAAGCACATCAAAAAGGCCTGGTGCAGGGCTGTGCTCAGTGGGCTGGGACTGTCTCTAGCTCCTTGCCTGTGGAAGGTCTCCAAACTGGCTGCTCATCCTCTGACATCTTCTACATAAATTTAGTTTAGAGTTGACGTTGGGCATCAGATGAAAGGGAGATTATTTCTCCACAGTAGCTAAGCAGCTACCACAAAAGTATACAGACTTTCACTTAGATTTCTGTCACAGCCATAGAAGTCTATAAAGGCTGTAGAGTCAGAACAACTGGGAGTTTCAAGGAGAAGCCTTGTACAAATAGTACTATCAAGAGAAGTATCTGAAAACTAACTCCCTCACTTTTCCAGAGAATGGTCCATAATAGGTTACCAATTTCTCCCCCACCACACACTTTCTTTGAAATAGGGTCTCATGTAACCTATGCTGGCCTTGAACTTGCTATGTAGCGGAAAATGAACTTAAACTTCTGATCTTCCTGTCTCTGTCTCCCAAGTGAGGGGATTACAGGTATGTGGCATCATGCCCAAATAAAAAATAATTTCTTGGGCCTGGAGAGATGGCTCAGTGGTAAGAACACTGGTTGTTCTTGCAGAAGACCTGGGTTCGAATCCCAGCACCCACATGGCAGCTAACAACTGTGTGTAACTCCAGTCCCAGGGGATCTGACAGCCTCTTCTGACCTCTGAGGGCACTGCATGACATGGGTGCACTTATCTATATGCAGGCAATACATGCATACACATAAAATAAAAATAATAAAAAAAAGAAAAAGTTTCTTTTTTATTTTTTGTGTTTTGTGGTACTAATTAAGCCCAAAACTTAGCACATTAGACAAGAACTCCAAAACTGAGCTATATCCTCAGGCTCAGTTTATTTATTTCTTTAGTTATTTAATTTTTGGAAACAGTCTCATGTAGCCCAAGCTGGCCTCACCAATTTTTTTAGGATGGCTCTGTTACAAGTAATCCTGTGTCAAAACAATCTTCACCCAAAGGTTAGAGAGCTGCCTGTCTCTAGAATGACAATACTATGTAAGCACTACAGAGGAGGGATGTGGCTGAACACTAGTCTGAGTTACAGCCCCCAAATTTCCTTCAATTCTACTTCCTAGCTTTGGCCTTAGTCAAAGCAAGACACCAGAAACCTCCAAATTACCAATGTAAACAATTTTATGACCTAAAGCACCTGAAAACAACAGATACCAGGGATTTTTTTTTTTTAACTCAAGAAGGAAATATTCGTCAAAACCATTTCTCTTCCCTTTCTCTCTTTTTGTTTCTCCTCCAGGGTCTCATTTAGCTCAGGCTGCCCTAGAACTTACTATGTAGCTGAAGATGACCTTGAACTTCTGATCCTCCTACCTCTACCTCCCAAGTGCTAGATTATAGGCATCAGTCACTACTGGTTCCCCATTTCCCTTTTGATCTTGAAAAATTTAAGGCCAAAATAAATAAGCAGAAAAAGATCCCTTCAAGAATAACAAGCTTGCCAGAAGGGCATGGTGGCGCAAGCCTTTAGTCCCAGCACTCAGGAGGCAAAAGTAGACACAGACAGATCTCTATGAGTTCAAGGCCAGCCTGGTCTACATAGTGAGTCCCAGGCTAGCTGGGGCTACAGAGAGACCCTGTCTCAAAAAAGAGCAACACAGTAGCTGAGCATGAACATAATTAGCATCCCAGAATTTGGGAGGGAGAAGCAGCAGGATCTTTGAGAATCTAAGGCCAGCCTGGTTTACATAGTGAGTTGAAGGCTCAGGGCTATACATTGAGACTCTTTCTCTTTAAAAAAAAAAAAAAAAAGCCAGGCGTGGTGGCACACGCCTTTAATCCCAGCACTGGGGAGGCAGAGGCAGGTGGATCTTTGTGAGTTTGAGGCCAGCCTGGTCTACATAGTGAGTTCCAGGACAGCTGGGGCTACAAGAAGACCCTGTCTCAAAAAGACCAAAAAAAAAGACAAAAAAAGAGGGGAGGGGGCAGTAAGATGGCTCTGCATATAAAGGAACTTACTACATAAGCCAACAAACAACCTGAATTCCATCTCAAGAACCCATGTAAAGGTGGAAGGAGAGGACTAT